GTTGATTATATGGGAAATATAAACCAATATACAGGTTTATATTTCCCATATAATCAACTGGTTAAGTTATATTATATACTTCAAAGGGCTCTGTGGCATCCAAATCACATAGGTATTGGCCACGCATAATGAAATCACTCTATATGAACTTTTGGCCTCCACAAACTATTCAGACAACTCTATCCTCATTGTAAAAGTGTGTGAAACTGCATGCCAGGATACCAGTGCAGGAATAGTTGGTTGTGAAATAGGGACAGATTGTTGAGAGTGTGTGCCGATACTACCATTATTGCTCAGAACGCCTAGTTCCCTTTCTACACATAAATGAATAAAATAATGCTCAATTTGCAGCAGGACGATTTTGTCCCTGGGTCATTGCTTTGTGCTGGCGACTTACCAACAACACACACGGAGTCTGGAGAAATACGGTTGCGAGCTGCCAAATCAAATCCAAAAATGGGCTGGTAGAGGCTGCAAATCTCGATTGGTTTTGAATGCACTTATCCTGAAGTACACCTCCTGAACTACATGTATACGATTTGAATAAGCATAGAGAGGACAATAGTTGCAAAAGCACAATGAGTAGGAAAAGCTTACAATCATGTTATTGTGTGGATTCACAGGAAGTGTGAGTTACGAAGTATGAAGAAGGTGTTGAACGGTCTCTGCTGGGATGACGGCTACAGCATAGCTCAGTGGTTAGAGCATCGCTAGCTAGCAACAATGCCGCGGTGATGTTCTACAAAACACGTGTATTTGTAGTAACTTGTAATGGAAGGATCCTAGTTGGATCCCCTATCGGTGTTCCAGCTTGTCTTCAACCTTTTTGGGAATCTTGTAGCAATAATGACAATGTTCTAACCGTATTGATCCCAAGCAAGGAAATGTAAAATGATAGTATTGTTGGGTCCGAAAAAGGCCAGTTGCCAACGGGAACAGGTATGTTGGTTGATCGACATTTATTAGAGACGGGATGACTAAGACCGGGACGAACGAAACGACTAATGGTGGTTATTGAAGAGGGAGATTATTGAAAAGAGCTTATTGAAGAGAGAGATTATTGAAGAGACAGCAACGCAACATAAAGGGCCTGGGTAGCCATGGCAAACATTGGCGCGCAAGTAGCTACCCAGGCCAAATGAATAATGCATGAACTAAAGAATATGAACTACATGTAATAATTGTGGGCCTAACATGCCACCCCTCCATGAAAAGAATCCCGCGTCCTCGCGGAGAAAAAAAAAGAAGAGGGAAAAAGTTAAAAGATGACTGAGGGAGAAAAACACACACACACAAACACACTGCACGCACGCACGCACGGATCTCACCAACGTGTTTACTAGTATCATGCATTACAGTTATTGTTCCTGTACTTCTCGAAGTCTAAAGATAGGAACCTAGACGTGACGAGGAACCTACTGATACTGCCTGCATGGCTAAAAATAGCGTAGTTGCACTTCTGCTAAACATCAAAAATTAGAGCGTGGCTCACCATGACCTGACCTCTAATTTAGTAATATTTTATGAACACACGCGCGCACACACACACAACATAAAAATTCACGAAATAAATAAACCGAAAATAAATTTGACGAAGAAGGAACGCATACAAAAAAGAAAGAGAGAAAGGTAGCTGATCTGCATGACGAGACGAGGTTGACATTGAAGAGACGAGGTTGGAGGTGAGACGAGGTTAGAGATGAGACGAGGTTGGCGGCGAATCGAAATTGACGCGACGAGACGAACGCCAGGCGGTAGAGCACGAGAATCTCAGGGTCGCGGGCTTCGGCAAATGTTGGGCGCCAATGTTGAGTTCAAACAAGAGACTGACGACGGACTCAGTCGGTAGAGCATCAGACTCTTAATCTCAGGGTCGTGGGTTCGAGCCCCACGTTGGGCACCAATGTTGAGTCCGAACAAGGCCAACTAAAAACGGGAACAGGTATGTTGGTTGAACGACATTTATTAGAGACGGGATGACTAAGACCAGGACGAACGAAACGACTAATGGTGGTTATTGAAGAGGGAGATTATTGAAGAGAGCTTATTGAAGAGAGAGATTATTGAAGAGAGAGCAACGCAATAATAAAGGGTCTGGGTAGCTACGGCAAACATGGGGCGCAAGTAGCTACCCAGGCCAAATGAATAATGCATGAACTAATGAAAATGAACTACATGTAATTACTTGTGGGCCTAACAGTATGTATTCAACTTTTCCTGGATGGGCCCTAGCACAGATAAATTCGTCGATGTTCCAGCAACCAAGAGTAGATAAACAAGAGTGTGCAACTCGCGGATGGGTTGGCCCACGGCGGAATTTTTTGTTGACGTAATCTTTTCGACGACGCACGCGCTGCGAGTCTTTCGGAAAGTTTTCCCTCGTGCTCTTGGCCGGGCTTTACACTACAAGGTCTGTGTCCAGCACATGCTCTCACACTGCTCTGCGGCAAACTGCGCGTTTCTCTGAAAAATGGTGACGTCAACAAAAAAATTCCGCCAT